ATTGAGATGTAATCCATACTGCAGACTGTATTCTTCAATCTTCATCAGTAAGTGCCTCAAGTCATCCTCACTTTCAGCAAGCAAAGTTGTGTCATCAGCATATCACAGGTTGTTAATGATTCTTCCTCCAATCCTGATGCCATGTTCTTCTTCATATACTCCAGCTTCTTGGATTATTTGCTCAACATACAGATTGAATAAGTATGGGGAAAGGATAAAACCCTGACACACTCCCTTCCTGATTTTAAACCATGCAGTGTCCCCTTGTTCCATTAGAACAACAGCCTCCTGATCAATGTACAGGTTCCTCATGAGCACAATCAAGTGTTCTGGAATTCTCCTTCTTCTCAATGTCATCCACAATTTGTTATGATCTACACAATCAAATGCCTTTGCATAGTCAATAAAACACAAGTAAACGTCTTTCTGGTATTCTTTGCTTTCAGCCAAGATTCATCTGACAGTAGCTATGATATCCTTTGTTCCACCTCCTCTTCTGAATCCAGCATGCACCTCTGGAAGTTCTCTGTCAATATACTGCTGCAACTGTTTTTGGATTATCTTCAGTAAGATCTTATTTGTGAGTGCTATTGATGACATTGTTTGATAATTTAAACATTCTGTGAGATCACCTTTCTTTGGAATGTGTACAAATAGGGATCTCTTCAGTCAGTTAGCCAGGTAGCTATTTTCCAAATCTCTTGGCATAACCAAGTGAGTGCCTCCAGTGGGGCATCCATTTGTTGAAACATCTCAATGGGTATTTCGTCAATTCCTAGAGCCTTGTTCTTTGCCAATTTCTTCAGTGCAGTTTCGACTTCTTCCTTCAGAACCATTTGTTCTTGACCATATGGCACCTCCTGAAATGGGTGAAGATCTACCAGTTCTTTTTGGTACAGTGACTCTGTGTATTTCTTCCATCTTCTTTTGATGTTCCCTGCATCATTCAATATTTTACCCATAGAATCTTTCAATATTGCAACTTGAGGCTTAAATTTTTTCCTCAGTTCTTTCAGCTTGAGAAATGCTGAGCATGTTCTTCCCTTTTGGTTTTCTAACTCCAAGTCTTTGCATATTTCATTATAGTAATTGGCTTTGTCTCCCCGAGCTGCTCTTTGAAATCTTCTGTTCAGCTCTTTTATGGAGCTCTTTTATGGATGACTTTTATGGATGACTGTAGGTCAAATTATTGATGTTTGTCTAATTTATGAAAAAGAAAAATGTCTACCCACTTCTTCACTATGCTGAGGATACCAAACTTTCTTTCACTTTCATCTCCATTTTATCTTCATTTAAAGATTAACAAAGTAAAAACTCAAGTTTCATCTTCAGGAATATCAACAAAAAGATAATCATAATTTTATGACAGGTTGAAAAAAAGAGGTGTACCAGTAGGTATGGGAGGTTTGATTTCCAAATCAGAAGCTCCTAAAGAAACATTTTCTGAAAATGCACAGTGAAAATTTTTTTCTATCTTAGATAATACTTTAAGAGCAAATATTTCTTCATTGTAATGGAGCTTGTTAATTGTGTATGACTGCAAACATCATTTAGCAACACTGGAGTATTGTTCCCAAGTTCAGTCAATATTTCCAGAAGCATTGTAGGTCTAGGATGAGTAATTAAAATTCCTAGTTCAGACTATATATTTGCATGCATATTCTAGCCAATAGCTATTTATCTCCCACCTACCCAGCAGGCCATACTTTAAATGTATGCACCTCTGTTCTGAGATACATTCTTCTTCCTGAATTATGAAATTACTCAAAGAAGTAAGAGTTTAGCCAAAACAAACTTTAAGGAGTGGAGAATAGTGTGATAGAGATGAAACTCTTAAAACTCTTAAACCCAGGCTTATAAGTTGCATTTGAACTACACAATCACTTAGAATTCAAAAGTAATCTGAAGTATAGGAAGAAAGGGAGTATAGTAAACTGGATCCTAAAAGGAACTGTTCAGTCTCTCAATCTTTAATTCTCTAATTTAAGTGTCCCAAATCATCTTTTCTCTTTACTCCAATCCCAAATTTAGGACATAACAATATATTTTCCTTAATTCCAAGTTTATCTTTTAAATATACCAAGTACAATGTAGTCACAGTTTATGTGTAGGAAACCTGTCTGAAGACCTTATTATTCAAAACTCACATAATTTCCCCATAGAAATAAGCAGAAAGTAAAGAAGATGACAATTCAGAGCTGGTAGATCTATGACTACTTATTTAAACGGAAGCACTCAGTGGAGAGTCAGAGGTAATGCTGAGAAAATACAAATATATTCACTTCATTCTTACAAAGACAGCTATTTAGTCTTACTTATTCAAAGCATTTTATTATATTTAATATCTCTTCTAAAATCATTGGCTTCTAGTAGGGTTTTTAGCACCAGAACTAACACCACCACTGATGATGTTATTGTGGGAACTTAAATATTTTAAATTACAATAGCACTAACTATTAAAATAACAACACAAAAATTGCCAGAATCACTTGCAGAAGTTCCAACTAATGTTAAAATTCTTCAGGGTTCTGAAACACTGGTGTTGCTATTCTCCAGCAAACGTGGTGCTACCATGTGACAATAATGTAAACAGATATTACAATTCACCTAGGATGTATATTTTTCAAATTTTGAATATGCTAATCTTTAATTACATCCAGGTGACATAACTGGAAATTGTATAGCACTGTACTTCAATTCTCCATTTCATCTGGGGACATCAACATAGCAAACACCTCAAGATACTTAAGGTCCATGCCAACACTACCCACTCAGTTTTTTAGTCTACAAATTGTTGTTGAGCACCTATAATGTGACAGAACACTGCTGGGTGCATAGTAGATACCTAATAAATTTTCAGTTTGAAATTTTCACTCAAATTATGTTTAGACAAATATCTATACATAAAGATAACCAGATCTCAACCAAAGACCTACTTACGACATATGACAAAAGAGTGACTTTACTCATATTTTATATTCATGAGGATTTGACCTTATGAATATAAAAAATATTTCGGAGATGTGATCAATAGAGACATTATTTATAGTAGTGATACTGAAAACGAGATAAAGGTAGAGGGAAAATATATAAAGTCTGACCTAAAAGGTCACCAAATCCATCTAGGTAGTCACACCATAACCTTTGGAAATCAGCTACTCCATCAATCCTTTTCTGTATCACAGTCCATCCTCCTCCTCTGTAATCCATGTCACACATCACCTAAAATCGACACAGAAAAGAAAAATATTATGCTATTGTTTTCATTCTTCTCTAATATTACATAGTGTATGTTTCATCCTTAAGCCTAAAGAAAGATAAGACATTTCCACTGAAAATTTGTGATGTTATACGCCATTAATACACTAATAATTTTAAACTTGTTAGAAAACACAGTACTTATTCTAGAACAAACTTGTAGCATATCAAATTACAGTTCCTGAATCAGTTATTTAAAAAAAATACATAAATGATTGTAGCATTTTGAGGTTATCCTTTTATTTTTCAAACGTATTAAAAAAAAAAATACTCAATGCCAAGTCATTTCCAACTCATGGAACTATCCATAGGGTTTCCAAGGCTGTAAATCTTTATAGAAATAGACACCACAGAGCAGCTAGTGGGCTCAAACAGACAACCTTTTGGTCAGCAGTTGAATCCTTTAACCACTATATCACCAGAGTTCCTTCTTCAAATCTACATGTCAGTATTTTTCAGTTTAGTACTAACAGTATTGATCTGATGTGGCAGAATGACATATATTTCTTTGTAAATTGTTTTTTCCTTTGAATTAAAACTTATTTTTTATAGTGTTAAATATGACTGATACTGCTTACTCTTTGCTCCAGCAAGCCCACAGGGCCTGTGTTCAGATGGGCATCTTCAGACATAAAGGAATGTCTGTGCCCACATTTCAGCAGGCTCCATAAGTGCATCTGTTGGTGCTATGTAAAATGTCACTGAGAACATCTCCATAAAAGACCCATAGGAATGACAAGGGGAGAAAACCAGAGAGAGAGATCAAATTTCTCTCCTTCAGAAACTTCCCACATGGAAAGAGAGAAAGGCAATGTGGAAAAAGTCAGGGAGCCAACGCTTTCCCAAAAGAGAAGTAATTATTCATCCTACTCCTCACAAAATTAGAAGCTTTCCCTTTCTACATCTGTTCAGGCCCATTTTTGAGTATGTAAGACAAGTAATTTATGCAATTTTTCTTATTCCCAGTTCTCATCTATGAAAATCTTATGACATCTTGTCAATAAAAATTCAAAAATAATATTAGTAACTTTAAGAAGAGAAACTGGTAGTATCTACTTAGAAGAGATATTTTATTGTTGAATAAAGACAATCTATAAGCTGCATCAGTCAGTATCATCAACTCCCTTATGCACAAAGAAAAAAATACCCCAGAAAATTAAAGCTATGTATAAATATATCACTCATCAATTAATATATAATTTTTAGTAGATATTTCTATTAGAAATCCTAGCATAGATGTCCTCTGGGTAGAGATATTAATATTTTTATTAAATTTAAGAATGGATCTGTATCTCAGTTTTTGTCACACACCAGCATAAGATTTTTTTTTTTTTTTAATTTCTTATGTAATCATGTAAAATTGCTTATCGTCAAAGGAAATTATAACCACATGTGGAAAGAGAAATCAGAGATATTTTTAGTAAGCCCCAAACCAAAGCACACAATAATTCTCTCATCCCCATCAAGTAATTAAAGCAAATAAATATTTATATAGTCAAGTTCTGCCTGCTATAAGGGCAATATACGATCCTGCACCAAATGGATTTACTTTAAAGTGTGCAACCATAAAAACTCAAATAGAAAAGTGAAAAATAAACTGTCTAGTCTTTTCACTGGTTTAGGAGTCAGACTTACAGAAAACCAAACTTTGAAACTGGAAAATTTATTAATTTACAGAAAAAAAAAATCTAAATATTAAAATAATTAAACTGTTACTATTAATTAAATTGTTTGTATGCTTTTTTTTCCCCACATAATAAGGGGAAAGGGCCCCTAGGTGGCAGAGATAGTTTGCACTAGGCTACTAACCTAAAAGTTGGCAGTTCAAACACCCAGCAGTGCTGTAGAACAAAGGCCTGGTGATCTGTTTCCAAAAAGAAAATCCTATGAAGCAGTTCCACTCTGCAACACATGGGGTCCCCACGAGATGCCATCAACTTGTTAGCAAGGGATTGGGTTTTCAGCTTTTAGTAACTAAAACCTTACCTCAAATGGGTAAGTAGCTCCTTCCGGGTGGATTATATATAAGCCACTTGGCGTTTTGGTGACAGAGCCAATGGTGTCTTTAATATCAGTGCAATCCAAACCTAGACGAGTAAAATTCATTATTTAGGATATGTTCATATGTACATTTAAGACTTAGTCATTTTATAGCAGAAAATTGATAGTGTTATCTGAAATTGGTATTACAATCTCCATCAATAATGTGCCAGACTTCTTGAAGATGAACACTGTTTTCAGTTTTAGAAATAAGGAGAAAATACATGGAAAAATAGGAAATAAAGAATTTATGCTGCAATGAGCCTTCACTAGTACAATCACTGTTAGTGTTTCGTATCCTATACTATTTAAAAGTTCCATTTGGGATCAACACTTACTTAACATATTTTTAAATGATGCCTTCTTTTTCAAAAAAAAATATAATAATAATACCCTTTCAGCAATCTAGGTATATCTTCGTCGGCAGGATATGTAAAGGAAAGCTATATAAGGGGAGAGGAGGAAACTCAAGGGATAAATGGATTAACTACTATTGACGAATATTTGATTACTCTATTTGAAACTGCAAAGACTCCAAGGGGTTTGGAGACTACTATTACCAAAGTAGGGAAAATCATCTCACCAAGAAGAAATTACCCTCAGGGCAATACCCTGCTCTGTTTGCAGCAGTTGGAACGGGAGCACCCTACAGTTATTCTCTCCAAAGCATCCCACTCTTCAGAGGATTGTAAACATAGGTACATAAAGATGGATAATCCATTTTAGTATAAGACATTCTATGTGGTATCTCTTAATATAATAAGAGATAAGTTCAACCTACCTTCTCTGCCCCACATTGAACTGCTCAGGTGTTTTGATCTGTCTCAGACCTGTATGGCCAAGAACTCAAGACTTGTACTTTGTTTGCCAGGATACTGCACCCAAGATATGGCTTCTCAGTTGCCTTCATCAGAAACTGAGTGCTGACAAAATCTGAGCCACACTATGCTCCACACAGGAGCTCTAGTAGCATAGTACCTAAGGCACTTGACTGCTAACCAGAAGGCTGGCAGTTCAAACCCACCAGCCACTCCTCGGAAGGAAGGTTGGGAAATCCTACTTCCGTAGTGATACTGCCTCGGAAACCCAAGGAGGGGTCGCTATGAGTCGGGGCCGACTCAACGGCAAATAACAACAACAACATGCTCCACACACTACTTCCTCCTGGAATCCATGCAGATTCATGTCTGAGGTATGTCATGGTACCCTCATAATAGCCTCAATTACCCAGCTAAACAAAATATGAGAGCATGGGACTCAGAAGCCCAATGCCAGGGTTAGAGCCCTAGTTCTACTTCTTCCTAGCAAGAACAATTAACCATTTGAACAAATGGCTTTGCTTGAGTAGTGAAGAATGTCTGCCTGCCATGATTTTTGTGCTCTTTTGCTATCTGTCTAGATGGGATCAAACTGAGCACAGCAACTCTAGAGATTGGAGGGGAATCTCGGAAGGCAGGGAGCTTGTGTCAACAGGGAAGAGCAACTCAGAAAGGGAGGGTGGAAATGGTTGGTTGCACAGCTCAAAGAGTGTAATCGATGTCACTGAACTGTACATGTAGAGACTGTTGAATTGCTGTGTGTTTTGCTGTGTATATTTCCAACAACAAAAATAAAATATTTTTTGAATACTTAACTTAAAGCCTTACTTTCTTCATATGTAATGTCAGAATAATAATGCTAACCATTTCACAGTGATATTCTGAAAATTTAAATAAACATACTGCTGTTGAGTCGGTTTTTGACTCATAGTTACCCTACAGGACAGAGTAGAACTACCCAATAGGGTTTCCAAGGGTCACTATGAGTTGGATCTGACTCGAAGGCAATGAGTTTGGTTTACAGGACAGAGCAGAACTGCCCCACAGGGTTTCTTTACAGAAGGAGACTACCTCATCTTTCTCCCAGAGTGGCTGGTGAGTTTAAACCACCAACTTTTTTTTTAGCAATCAAATAGTTTAACCAGTGCACCACCAGAGCACTCCTTAAAATTCACACTGTAAGGCTTTATGTAAAGTACTTAGCACAGACCCTAACACATAGTAAGTATACAGAAAATGCTCCTACAAAATCACAGCTGTAAACAAAGTTTGCTTTCCCCTCCATTTCCAGGAGACATAAAAGAGTTGTTACTTTTGTTCTGCATTGTTAAGAGATATTCTTATTATAATTTATACCCAGAGATATGATAGAAGTTCACATTCAACTACTGATCTGGGTTGGAATGTCTGCTTTTCCATTACCAGAGAAATAAACATGAACAAATTATTTAGAATGTCTATGCTTCATTTTCCTCATCTGATGATGATGACAACCATAAAAAAAAAAATTTAAAAAAATCCTTATATTGCTCTTACTATTTATCAGGCACTCTTAAGAGCTTTTCATGTATTTACTCATTTCATCCTTACAACATGCTAGAGGGTAAATACTATCTGTTTGCTAACGAGGAAACTGAGACCAAAGAAACTGTGAGTCAGGGATTTGAAGCCAGGCAGTCTGACTTGAGAGTCCTTGCTCTTAACTGCCACTTTATACTACTTATCTAGGGACAGATATGGGAAATAAATGAGATACAACAAAATAATAAAAAATAATATGTGAAAGTGCCTGTGTTAGTATCTGGCACATAGGATATTTATAGTAACGTTCATTCCTTTCCCTTTGTAAGAAAAAAGAAATATCATACACTACGCCCTGAAGTATATTTGTTTGATTGGAACCTTTTGGTATTAATTTTAAATTAGAAGGTTCATAGGGTATCTTTCTTAGAAGCTCAAGCTTCTAGGTATTACTATACTGTACTGTAGTATTCAAGTTTATTTCTGTCTTAAGTTTCTTTTCTTTTTCTTTTTCAAATTTTACAATTTTATAATTTCAAATTTGCAAGTGTTTGAACAAATTTTAAAATTTTTTTTACAAGTGGGAGGAACTCTGAAACTTTCTCTTCCCTCTAACTAGAGATTAGTTATTAGTAAAATAAAAAGGGAGACCAGAATACAGTTACATAAAAATGATACTACTTTCAACAGATTCAGGATATCTTTATACAGCCATGACTTTTAAATGGTCAGAAAATTTACCCAATTTAGAAAAATATACATTGTCTGCAATGTAATTTGCTTAATGGCAGATATCACTTGTCTAGTTTGCTAGATAATAGTGAGCTATATTTTTTGCTTTGTTTTGTTTTTTTAAAAAAGAAAAAAAAAACATATTAAATGCTTCAACCTGTTCTGGGCAAAAAGGAACTCTGGTGGCACAGTGCTAACGGAAAGGTCAGTGGTTCAAACCCACCAACTACATCACAGAAGAAAGATGTGGCAGTCTACCTCCATGAAAATTTATAGCCTTGGAAACCCCAGGGCAGTTCTCCTCAGTCCTATAGGGTCGCTGTGAGTCAGAACCAACTCTATGGCACAGGTTGGGCTTTTTTGTTTGTTTGTTTCATTCAAAAAAAAAAATTTAAGCAATAAAAGACAAATATTAAAAGACTGAAATACCACAGTTCTCACCATGTGACTGAACTGGTCTCTGAGGAAAAGGGTCCAGCTGTTTTCTAAAAACTTCTGTAGTCAAAAGAAGAACTCGATTCATGAGCTCATTAACCTAAATACACACACACATTTAAGCAAATTTATATTTGAACAAACCTCATTTAGCTGAATTCTGAATAATCGCTAAGCCTTTCGTAAGCCCAGCTCTGAATTATGTAATGATGCATAGTTTTCGCCACCGAATCCCTTACTACTTTAACAAATCACTACAGGCATAGCTAAGTATCAGTCACTAAGCTCGGCAGTGTCTGTCTCCAAAACATTGTCTGTCTCTGCCCGTTTCTGTATCTCGCTGCTCTTGAAGTTCTGCTCCTCATGTCTTGCCTGTACTTTCCCATTTCATCTCCTTCCTCTTCCCTCTGCCCTCCCCCAACCATCCTCCACACCAGCTGCCAATCTGTTCATGTTCATTTCACTGTTCAGATACCTCGGTGGCTCCACAATATGGTATGATTTACTTCCTGCCTACCTCAATTTTCCTTACACACTCTTAACCTCACCAACCACTATACTCCCCACTTCACCATTGACCAAGCCCAAGTAGTTTCTCTTTGACTCAAACTTTGTAACCTTGGAAGCATTTATTCAATTTTCATGTCTCAGCTAACAGGCTTCCTTCTTTAGGAGGCCTTCTTGAATCTCACCCTTTTCAGCGTCCTCATTCCAACAACATCAACAACACTTTTTCAATGCAGTACTTTGTCTTTTTTGTTCCCATAGACTACATGTTCCTTAAGGCCAGGCCCATTTTTGTATTTTCTGTTTGCCTGAGACTTATTATGATGCCTTTCACATAGCAAGCACTAAATGGATGTCTGTAACATAATTGAATGAAAGAATGTGGTTGTACTTTCAACAAACTATATGTCCATATACATATGCAACGACAACACAATACTAAAAACTCCATACCTGATTAGATAAATAATCCAAGGAAGCTTGTTGCTCATCCATCATATTTCTTAGTAGTTTTTTGGTACTTCGTGTGTAAGAAATAATAGAATTTTGCAAATTTCCTTAAACCATAATAAAAATGGCTAATAAATGTTACATTAATACAGGAAACATGGAAAATATAAAATTTCACATTATTTTGTATAAATATATAAACACAATAATACCCCACTTATCTAAATACTCACGGTTATATATTCTAGTTAGTACATTTTTTCTTTAATTCAGAATTAACCTTTCTTAATGATTTCCAAGTAATATAAAAAAAAACACACTGCTGTGGAGTCAGATCCAACTCATAGAGACTTCTTGGGTTTCCCAGGCAGTATCACTACAGAAGTAGATTGCCCAACCTTCCTTCCCAGGATGGCTGGTGGGTTTGAACTGCCAGCCTTCTGGTTAGCAGTGCCTTAGGCACTAAGCCACCTGAGCTCCTTCCAAGTAATATAGATAGAATACTCAAAATAATTTAATCTGCTGTAGTTGAGAGACAACATTTGGAATATCAATTCTTACTTTATAAGAGGAGAGGTATAGACACAGGAGATTCAAGATTCATCAGTTCTTACTATATAAGGTAATAAAAGGCAATAATCCCATACTATGAAAGTTGATTTTAAAAATAACTCTTTGCTTACATTTTTTCTCTTAATGCTGTATTTTTATATAAATAAATTGCAAACACACACACACACATTTAAAAAGAATAAAATAAAACAGGAGCTCTGGTAACATAGTGCCTAAGGCATTTGACTGCTAACCAGAAGGCTGGTGGTTCAAACCTACAGCCACTCCTTGGAAGGCAGGTTGGGCAAACTATTTCCATAGTGATACTGCCTCAGAAACCCAAGGAGGGGTTGCTATATGCACCCTCAAAATCAAAGGTTTTGGCTAGTTACTTTCTGACTGAACTTATAATGTACATTTTTCTTTTTTACTAACTTTTATGTAGAAACAATCATACTTACAGAAGAGTTACAAGAACAGCACAAAGAACTTTTTTTTCCCAAAATTATTTTAGAGCAAGTGCCCCTGTTGCTGCTTCATCTCTGAATAATTCAGTGTGTATTTTCTACACCAAAGACATTCTCTACAACTTAACCATCAAAATCAGGAAATAAACATTGACTATCTTATCTTTTTCAGATCCTGTGAAAATTTCACCAGTTATACCAAAGATGCCCTTTATAACAAGTGAATCTATATATTATTGCTTACTTTGTCCTTTTAAAAATTTTATTGCTATATTACAAAATTTTATTCTAGCACTAAAATATATTAATTTTTATTTTATTACCATCTCTCTTTTTTATTTTTAGTCTCTCACTGTCTATTAGTTTCTTCCTGGATTTAGATATCTGTGCTAATAGGCACAGATTCTGTGTACTAACTGGTTTGAGAAAAACCAGTTGCACTCACTGGTTTGAGAAAACTGAGATCCTTGTATCACAGAATTAGCTACACTGAAGTGAGTTTTCATAATTGTGACCTAAGAGTTAGAATTCTATAGGAACTGGTTCAAATTATCACCACCTCCTCTTCTGATCTCCCTTTTTCATACCTGACCCTGCATACATACAATAAAAAAAAGAAAAAAACACTGCCATTGAGTCAATTCCAACTCATAGTGACCACATTGAGTTTCCCAGGTGGTAAATCTTTATAGAATTAAATTGCCCAGTCTTGCTTCCATGGAGTGTCTGGTGGGTTTGAACCACCACTGTGCTACCAGAGTTCCTTATACATACAATAGACCATGGAAATCATTGCAATGTTACTGAATAGTTTTAAACAACAATCAAGACTTTAGAACTTTATTTTTAATCATTTGCTACCATAAGTCAGGGAGCTCTGGTAGCGTAGTGCCTAAGGCATTTGACTGCTAACCAGAAGGCTGGTGGTTTAAACCTACCAGTGACTCCTTGGAAGGAAGGTTGGGCAATCTACTTCCGTAGCGATACTGCATCGGAAACCCAAGGAGGGGTCACTATGAGTCAGGTCCCACTCGACAGCACCATAAGTCAAAGGAGCCTTGGTGAAGCAATGGTTAAGCACAGCTAATGGAATGGAAGGTGGCTGTAACTCACCAGCAACTCCACGGTAGAAAAGACGTGGCACTCTGCTCCTAGAAAGATTGCTCACTGCTGATGAATCAATTCTAATTCATAGCAACTCTACAGGGCAGAGAAAAACTGCCCCACAGGGTTTCCAAGGCTGTAATCTTTATGGAAGTAGACCACCACATCTTTCTCCTGCAGAATGGCTTGTGGGTTCAAAACTGCCAACCTTTTAGTTAGAAGAGAGTACTTAACCACCGCACTACCAGGGCTCCTTCCCCTAAAGATTGCAGCCTAGGAAACCATATGGATCAGTTCTACTCTGTCTTATAGGACTGCTATGAGTCGGACTCAACTCAACAGCACCAACAACCATACTTTAGTTGTGGAATTTGTGTTATACCTATTATAAGAGTTGCTTGCTATGAATGTATTAGTTTTCAGTATGCCGTCTCTGAAACTTCCTAGTGATTCAGATGAAGATAAGAAAACAGCCCTAGTTAAATCAGTACAATATTATTATCAGTGCCCTCTGGCTTTCCCCCTATCTCTGCGGTCAACTGATGCCACAAGATTATAGAGAGGAGGATCATTAATTTACCAGATACTTACTAAGCATCTACTATGTACCAAACACATAAAGCCTCTGGCCTAGGATGATAAAGATGTAGATAAAATGATCCAGACACCATTGTGTAAAACAGTCTGGCAGTTCCTCAAAAAAACAGAGGCAGAACTGTCATATTGCACAGAAATTCCACCTCTAGGTATCTACCCTAGATATCAAATAGAAGTGACACAAACAGACATATGCATATCTATGTTCATCACGGCACTATTCACAATTGCAAAAAGATGGAAACAATTTTGGTACCCATCAACAGATGAATGGATAAGTAAAATGTGGCTCATACTTACAATGGAATATTACTCACTGATAAAGAAAAGTGAGTTTCCAAAGCACCTTGGAACATGGTTGGACTTGGAGAACACTATGTTGAGTGAAATAAGTCAATCACAAAAAGTAAATATTGTACATTCTCACTTTAATGAAATAACATAAACAAGTAGGAGTTCTGGTGGCATATTGCCTAAGGCACTTGACTGCTAACTAGAAGGCTGGCAGTTCAAACCCACCAGCCACTCCTCAGAAGGAAGATTGGACAATCTACTTTTGTAGTGATACTGCCTTGGAAATCAAAGTAAATACACAGAAACTAATGGCCATTAGTGGTTATCAGGGAATGGGAAGGGGGATTCACTCTCTAGATACAGGCACTTGTTATTTTTGGTGATGGGAAATGTAACACCAAATGGGAGTGAATTGTAGACAGCTTGATGAAGGTAAACAATGTCATTACAAAGACAAAGTAAAGAAAAAAGGACCTTTTGGTAATTGGTATGGCATATATAATGTTGAAAAAACAACAAAAACAATGAAAAATGTTTGTTTGGGTACATATGTATGAATGTAGGCACATCTATGTATATGTTTATGTGTGTGTGTGTGTCCATAAATAGGTATATGCTTATGTATATGCATCTATGTGACTGTATGTGTATACATTCATATATATAATAAAGCACATGGGAGTACAGTTATGGATACTTCTTAGACATAATCAAATACCTTGCAGGATTGAATTTTTGAACTTGAAGGATTAGGACCATAGTCTCATGAAACAGTTCAGTCAACTGGCATAATACAGGAATATCTTGTTTTATTGTGTTTTGCTTTATTGTACTTCATAGTTACTGCATTTTTTACAAATTGAAGGTTTGTGGCAACCCTGCATTGAGCAAGTGTATCAGTGCCAATTTTCTAACAGCATGTGCTCACTTCATGTCTCTGTGTCACATTCTGGTAATTCTCACAATATTTCAAACTTTTTCTTAATACTATTGCATACTTAATACACTACAGTATAGTGTAAACATAACTTTTATATGCACTGGGAAACAAAAATATTCATGTGACTTACTTTATTGCAAAATTTTCTTTATTGTGGTGGTCTGAAACTGAACCCACAATATTTCCAAGTTATACCTGTATAGTCCATAAAGTTATGCCTACACTCTAGTTTGGTAAGTAGTATCTGGGGTCTTAAAATCTTGTGAGTGGCCATCTGAAATACAACTACTGGTCTCTACTCATCTGGAGCAAAGAGAAAGAAGGAAACCAAAACTCAAAGGAAACATTAGCTTACAGAACAAATAGTCTATACAAACCATGGTCTCATCTCAACTGAGACCAGAAGAAATAGATGGTGCCCAGCTATTGTTGTCAACCACTTGGAGGGGGATCTATGTAGGAGATTCTAGATAGAGTGGGAGAACAATGTGGAACAAAACACAAAATCATTTTTTAAAAAAGTGGGGGGAACAGGTTTGCTGCTCTGATGGAACCACTGAGACTATGGCCCCTGGCTACCCTTCAGGTCTGGAACTGAACCCACTCCTGTGGCTTCCAGCTAAAGAAAAGGCAAGCAAATGGGCTGAACATTTACATTAGGTAGATACACTCCTTGGAGAGAACAATCATGGGAGAATAGAGCGGCTGTGTATGCACAAGGAGACAGCTCAGGGGGTGGAAGTGCGTGGAGGGAGGATCACAGGAGGGGGTGGCTGTGGGGAGGAAGTGGGAGAGGAGCTGTTGCAATAAATAATAATAATTTAAAAAACAGAACTACTGGGTTGGTTGAGATTGAAAGTTTCCCCAAGACTGTTGCCCTGAGACACTCTTCAAACCTTGAACTGAAGCAAATCACTGAAGTTGTCTTGTAGCTGAATAACAAATCAGCTCAAAAAATAATGAATATCCCTCTTAAGTACTGTGCTCCACTAAAAAAAAAAAAAAAAATCACCTTTATGGGACGAACCAGTCAACAATTGCTTAAAGTAAAGATGAGAATGTAAAAGGGCAGGAAAGCTAGATTAATGGAAACAAAACAACCAACCAGAACAGAAATAGAGAATGTTCATGCATTGTGAAGAATATAACCAATATCTCTGAACAACTAACTTGTGTAGAAATTGTTGAGTGGGAACCTAACCTGCTATGTAAACCTTCACTGAATATGCAACAAAATATTATTTTTAAAAAAGAAAATTATTAATGACCAAAAAAAATGACCCAGACAAATTCTAAGGTACATTTTTCCTATACCTATCCCAAAAATAATAAATCGTATACCTTTACAACTATGGTTATTTTTAATACTTACTACACATGAAATGTTTTTCTTCTCGTGTAATTTTAAGCTTAACATCATATGATTCCTCACAGTTTTCCTTATAAAGAGTATCATTACTTTTATTTTCATCTTTTGCATTAGATACATCTTCTGCAAGGTTGACAGATGAATAATCCTTTACATTAAAAAATAGAAAGAACAAAAACAATTAAATATATTATACAATAAATAAAATGATTATTAAAAATTTTAAAAAAGAACAAAACACCATTTGATTGCCATACTGCGGTGGCTCGCATGTTGTTGCAAGGCAGGAGGCTATGATGCCACCAGTATTTCAAATACCAGCAGGGTCACTGTCCACTGTGATGGACAGGTTTCAGGGCAACTTCCAGACTAAGAAAGACTGGGGAGAAGGATGAGGCCATCCACTTGTGGAAAAAATGGCCAATGTAAACCTCATGAATAGTGGTAAAACACTGTCTGATATATTACTGGGAAGTTTTATGAATAGCCCTGAAACAATGTCTGATACAGTGCCAGAAGATCAACTGCTCAGGTTGGAAAGCATTCAAAATACAATTGGGGAAGAGCTGTCTCCTCAAAGTAGAGTTGACTTTAGTGGCATGCATATAGTAAAGCTTTCAGGACCTTTATTTGCTTGATGGGACATGACTCAAAATGAAAAGAAATAGCTGCACACTTCTATTAATTGTCGGAGAATGGAATGTATGAAATATGAATCTAGGAAAATTGGAAGTTGTCAAAAATGAAATAGAGTGCATAAAGATCCATATCCTAGGCATTAGTGAGTTAAAATGAACTGCTATTGGTCATTTTGAATCATACAATCATATGATCTCCTATGCTGGGAATATTTGCAGCTGTTTCTTCCCATTTTGAGTCAAACTCTATCAACCAATGGAGGTCCTGAAAGCTTTACTCCATCCACATCATTAACGTCGACTCTACTTTGAGGAGGCATCACTTTCCCAGTCGTAGTTTGAGTGCCTTCTGACCTGAGGGGCTCACCTTCTGGCACTGTCATCAGACAATGTTTCAGGCCTCTTCATAAAATTTTGCAGTATATGAGAAAGTGTTTCACTGCCATTCACAAGGCTTTCACCAGCTAATTCTTTGAGAAGTGGATGGCCCCTTTCTGCTTTCCAGTTTGTCTTAGTCTGGAAGCTCTGCTGAAACCTGTCCACCATGGGTCCACAATCAACACCAATGGAAGCAGCAGTCAAGAAATGAGATGACATATTGCACTGGGAAAAATCTGCTGCAAAAGACCTCTTTAAAGTGCCAAAAAGCAAAGATGTGTCTTTGAAGACTAAGGTACACCTAACCCAAGCTATAGTATTTTCAGTAGCCTCATATGCATGTGAAAGGTGGAAAATGAATAAGGAAGACTAAAGAAGAATTGATGCCTTTGAATTGTGGTGTTGCTGAAGAATATTGAAAGTACCACGGACTGCCAAAAGAATTAACAAATCTGTCCTGGAAGAAATGCAGCCAGGAATGCTCCTTGGAAGCAAGAATAGCCAGAGTCCATCTCACCTACTTTGGTCATGTTGTCGAAGGGACCATTCCCTGGAGAAGGATACCATGCTTGGTAAAATGGTGGGTCATGAGAAAAGGAGATGGCCCTCAATGAGATGGATTGACAGTGACTGCAATGATGGGCTCAGGTATAGCACAGATTGTGAGGCTGATGTAGGATCAAGCAGTGTTTCGTTCTGTTGTACATAGTTACACATGAGTCGGAGCCAACTTGAGGGCACCTAATACCAATAACATCCAGGAATGAAAAACTGAACTGTAATGGTGTTGTATTCATGGTCAAAATGAATGTTTCAAGATCTATCCTGAAGAACAATGCTGTCATGATAGGATAATATCCATGTCTACAAGGAACATCAGTAATACTACTATTACTTCAAATTTATGCACCAACCACAAAAGTCAAATATGAAGAAATTGAGGATTCTTACTAACTTCTGTAGCCATAAATTGTCCAAATATGCAATCAAGATGTATTGATTACTATTGGTGATTGGAATGAGAAAGTTGGAAACTGGTAGTTGGAAAACATGGCCTTGATGATAGAAATGACGGAGACCACATGATGGAATTTTGCAAGACCAATGACTTATTCATTGCAAATACCTTTTTCCAACAACATAAATTGTGGCTATACATGTGGACCTTGCTAGTGGAATACACAGGAATCAGATTGATTATATCTGTAAAAAGAGGTGATGGAGAAGCTCTATATATTCAGCCAATACAAGGCCAGAAGCTCACTGTGGAACAGACCATCAACTGCTCATATGAAAGTTCAAATTGAAGCTAAAGAAAATTTTTATAAGTCCATGAGAGCCAAAATATGACTTTGATTATATCCCACCTGAACTTAGAGACCATCTGAAGAATATATTTGATGCATCAAATACCAGTGACCAGAAACCAGGCAAGTTATGGGATGACATCAAGAACATCATCCATGAAGAAAGCAAAAAGTCATTAAAAAGACAGGAAAAGAAGAAAAGACCAAAATGATGTCAGAAGAGACTCTGAAACTTGCTCATGAATGGAGAGTTGCTACAGCAAACAGGAGAAAAATGATGAAATAAAAGAGCTGAACAGAAGGTTTCAAAAGGCAGCTTAAGAAGACAAAGTAAACTATTAAAATGAAGTGTGCAAAGACCTGGAGTTAGAAAACCAAAAGAGAAGAACACACTCACCATTGCTCAAGCCAAAAGAACTAAAGAAAAAACTCAAGCCTTAAGTTGAAATATTGAAGGATTCTATCACCAAAATATTGAATGATGTGGGAAGCATCAAAAGAATATGGAAAGGTTGAGTTCCAGTGATATGGCTGAATAGGCAGAAAGACTATACACAGACCCTCTTCAACAAAGAAAAGGGGAACCAATTAACACAGATACAGAAGATAATTCTAGAGTCCAGAGCTTTGAAGGGAAGGATATAGAACTGGACTAAACTCCAACTAGTAGAAGAATTAGCATGAAAACACCAAAAAAGGAGACATACGGAGCTGTGGTCTGTCAACAATCCTGACAGCACAGACAGCTTGGATATTGCTGAGTGGTGTTAGGACCTAAGAATTAACCTAAAAATTGGCCCTGCTAACCAAGGGCTGCACAGAATGCTCTGGTGGCTGATGAATAAGGGGAAGCCCAAAAAGGAAGGTGGACTGAGATGTGGACTTCTGCCTGTCTGGAGGATGCAGCCATTTTGAATGTTTACAAGTGGTTGGACCATTTTGGATATTTAAAGCAACAGCATTCTCCCAGATTCCAGGGACTCAAAAATAGGATCCACTTGCCAAAAACCACAAAGACATTCCAGACACCAGCAACTGGAAAGGTGCAATATTTCCTTTATTACTTTTATACCCCACACCCTCTTGGTGAACAGAGGTGTACCCATCCCTCACTCCCACCCACCTTCTGGGGCAACATGAATTCCATCCCAGTCTGTGTGCTTGGACAGAGCCTGGGTACCCTGCCACTCACTGTCCAGATTATTTTTTCTCCTTTTTTTTAGTTTGTTGTTTTGCCTGTTTTAAAATTATTATTATTATTATTATCTTTTTATTATTATTCTTTATTCTTCCCTTCTTTGGTACTAGTTTTCAGATTTTTCTCTCTTCCCTGTTCCTGGTACCAATTTTTTTCTTTCTCACAGTTAACCCCATTCCCTGTTTTTCTTTTTGCATTTTTCCCATTTTTTCTTCATTATTCTCCTACTCTACCTTTTTTTCTTATTACCCTCTCCCCAGATACTGTGGGTTTTCTTTTTCTTTTTTTGGTGATTGTTCCTGTGTGTTTATGTGGTGGGTTTTTTGTCCATGTGCTTTTAATTTTTGATGGTTTTTTGATTGTTTTTTTTGTCTAACTGAGTGGGAGACAGCAACAATGCCTATATGACACAACTACACCTGCACCTCCTACAGCTCCACTTACTGAGTGAGAGCCACCACTTCCTTCTCCACCAACTGGCCAATGATAAACAACCACCAAGAAAAGCCAGATTTACCCTTAGCCGCTCTTCACAAACAGTAAAGAGATCTAAATACAACAATGTCACAATATCTCAGAGACAAAAGAACATTATAGTTCACACAAAGAAGCAAGATAAAGTGGTAGAAACAAGGAATCAGGGTACAGACCCAGAACACATTCCTGAGGAAGAAGCAGAATTGGAATTCCCTGATAAGGAATTTGAAAGAATTATATTTAGGTATCTTCAAAGGATTGAGAGACAGATAAAGGCAAACACTGAAAAAATTAAGGAAAACACAGACAAAACTCTAGAACAATTTCAGAAGAAAATACAAGAACAAAATAAAAATATATAAATGACACAAACTCTACAGACAGAAATCCAGAAGGTTAACGCTAAATTGTCAAAAATAGATAACACATTGAAAGGGAAAAGGAGTAGAATTGAATCAATGGAAGACAGAATTAATGAGATTGAAGACAAATGCCTGAATACTTCTTAGGAAAGGAGTTAATCAGAAAAATAGATCAAAACAAAATGAAAAAAAAGCCTAAGGTTCATGTGGGATACCATCAAAAGGATAACCTACGTATAATTCAAAGTCCAGAAGAGGAAGAGAAATAGAAAACCACTGAGAAAATTGTCCAAGATTTGTTGAAAAAGAACTTCCCTGATATGATGAAAGATGAGAATATATCCATTCAGGAAGGCCAACAAAACCAAACCAGGCTAGATCCCAAAAGAAAATCAACAAAATATATCATCATCAAACTCATCAAAACCACAGACAGAGAAAGAATCCTGAAAGCAGCATGGGAAAAACAAAAAGTTACTTAAAAAGGACAAGCAGTAAGAATAAGCTCGGATTTCTCGGAAGAAACCATGCAAGTGAGAAGGCAATGGGATGGTATATATAAAACCCTGAAAGAGAAAAATTTACAACCAAGAATTATATACCCAGCAGAACTGTCCTTCAAATGTGATGGTGAAATTAGGAGATTTCCAAGTAAGCAGAAATTAAGGAAATTGGTTAAAACCAGACTAACCTTACAAGAGATACTAACAGAGTCCTCTGAACAGAGAACCAATAATAGCAAACAACAACCGACCATTAACACACAAGATGACATTACACAGAAACCA